GTGTGTGTGTGTGTGTGTGTGTGTGTGTGTTGTGTGTGTGTGTAAATATGATTATATTAACTTACAACTTACCTGAAACAGCAGGACCGGGTATTGCCGAAACAGCCGTATCAGACGCCACATCTTTCAAAATCTCCTTATTATCATCACTTAAATTACCAGTCACCTCAACATCCGAAGCCATATCATCCGCAGTCAACACTTTAGGCCATTCCGTAACCACAGAGGTCTTCACGGGGGCCTTGATAGGTGACTTTTTGACCCATGGCTTTCGGGTGCGTGCAGCAGCTGTGCTGTGTGCTTTAGCCTTTGGCTTGCTGGCGGTTGGCTCCGCCTTGACACTCAGGTCGGACACTTTGATGCGTTTCTGATAATAAGAATAGAAAGAGGTCAAGTTGATTAAGTCCCAGACTATACACACGCAAAGCAACTGTATATATATAACGCGACACTGTTGTTTACAATATATTATTATTCGCATCAGCTGTCTGTCAGTATCCGCCCAAGAAAGCCAATTAGACACAAATACAGACCATATAGCCAAAATTGACAATTAACAATCCAGCATATAGTATTATAAGATCCGAGATATATGATATGATCAATTTCCCCAAAAATCGAGAAGAATGTGAGTTCAATGCTAAATCCTTATTCCAATGATACATACGTCCCATTTCTAAAGATACGATTTCGTAGAATTCACTCTGAAACTCTAGTTAGGGTTTAACCCCCACCGCATATCCTTGAGTAACTATAAGAAACAACATTCAGTTATACCTCCGACTCCAGTTTGTTGCTACATAGACACCAGCGTAACATGTAGCAACAACAACCACTCATAGTAAAGAACAAACAATCACCCGCCAAACCAGCAGCCACTACTCACCGCATCCTTATTTGTCCCCGACGCATCGGTGACATCCGTTGCCATGGCACGTTTACGAGGAGTATCGGCGGCAGCACGTTCTTCAGCCCCAGTCAGCCAGTTGAGGAAACCCCTGCTAGGCGCAATAAAGGACGTGTGAGGGATTATGGTACGGGGAATATGTTCCCAGACCAATGTATAAAACCATATATGCAAAGAAAAATATGTACCGTGTGTAAAAGCTTGGTATGGGCATATAAATATAAGTGTGTGTTTTGAGGGCAGAGAGGTCTGCTCGTAAATAAATGATTACAACACATGAACAAAATATTAACGCTGACTGCTGCCGAATACATATGCAACGGTACATGTATGTATACATGACTATGTGCAGTTCCTATCGTTGAACATGTATCTGTATGCGGCAATGAAGATTTATAAAATATTCAATCTCATGATAAAAAATAAACTGGTAAGTTGGTTTGGTCCTTGTGACACGTATTCATAATATAAATTCAGAAACTACGAAGGCAATGTACAGCTACATTACAATTCCATAAGAAAGATCCGTGTGCACTTTATTTTAATACAAACAAAACTGGAATTTATCGATGCTCAGTATATAAAATTTAAAAAGGATTAAATAATTTACAGTAATTCAATTGAGGCTAACCATAGCGTTCTAAATGAACATATTTATAGTCTGTCACTAGCTTGCTGAGATTCTGTAGAAACTTGCAGGGTTTTTTACATTAGAAGCAAACACGAATATAGAAGTACAATCAGTCTTTGCATTGCCTAACAGCTAGTGTACTGAACATGATGCGAGACATGTTGGAAAACATTTGTAGACTGATTTATGACAAAATGGCGTAACTATACGACAACTTCTACTAATACATACAGACACATCCATAATTATGAGGAGTGTACACAAACCTTTATATAAATACATATATATATACATATATATATATATATATATATATGTATGTATGTATGTATGTATGTATGTATGCATATATATATATATATATATATATATATATATATATAATAATATATATATATATATATATATATATATATATAATAAACAAAACTAAACTAA